TTGTACATTTTCAGTGTTTTGTCAGCAATCAGCCATTCACACAGCAGACAGCTCTCGTAGCAAAAAGAGAGAGAGAGAGGAAGGGAGAGATAGAGAGACCTGTTGCATGGTAGAGACTAACAATGAGGTCTGCTTACCAGGTAAGATGAGGGACTAGGAAAGGAGGCTTTATCCCACCCAAAGTTCTGCAAAGTCTCTGGGCCTTAGGACCTAGAACACAACTTATGATGATTGTAAGAAATCAAAAGTTTGTTTTCTCCCAATTAGCCATAAATCCTGGAGCTCCTCACCATGTGTATGTGAGAAAACTAGGTGACATATCCACACTGTCTACAATCCTGCCAGCCAGTGCCTTACAATACATAGATATATAAATAAGGCTTTTTATTTCCAAAGATAATCAAAATTGATGTTTTTCATTTGACGTAGTCCTCATAATACTGTAAAAATGGAATATTAAAAAATTGAACTCAGGATTTAGTACTGACTATGAATCCAGATGTTTTATGTTCTATAATTGTGCTTGTTTCTTTTATGGTCCCAGAATGGGGTACAGCTGGTGTGCTGACCTGGGAACTTAGCATAGGGGATGGTGGGAGCCCCTCATAATGGGTACAGCCAGTCTGCAGATTGGGAACTCAGTGCAGGGGATGGTAGGAAACCCTCATATTGGGTGCAACCAGTCTGTAGTCCCAGGAACTCAGCACAGGGGATGGTAAGATCCTCTCATACTGCATACAACCAGTCTTCTTTCCCAGGATCTCAACACAGGGATGATGGGAACCCCTCATAATGGGTACAGAAGGTGTGCAGTGTCAGGAATTCAGCACAGGGATCATCAGCTGTGTCCCTGAAATATTGAAGAGACTGTCGGGAGGATTGTTTCTCCAGCGAATATGAATCATTAACACCATTTCTGGGAGACATAAACCTTGTATTTGATAAAAAGTAACTGTTTGCATGCTGTCATAAATGATTATAAGTAACAAATTTCCATTTCCATATCGTTGCAGTTGTGGGCGGCCGTACAGCCAGGTGAATCCCGCCGAGAGAACAGGGGACACAAATGACATAACACACTCTCAGAGCAGAACGGGTACAATACATGCAATGTCTTTTATGGGGCGCTAACCATACTTTGCACATGCTGTGTCATAGAATCTGGCATGGGGGATGTGGGGGGAGGGAGCAGAGTAATACCAGGTCTGCTCGTCCCTAGGGCCCATGTATCACCTGACCACATAGTGGGGTGACCATACATACAGTATAACTAGAGGGAAACGTTCCATTATACCTGAATGCTGGTAGGACACATTATTCAGCCCCTCCACCCACAGAGCCAACAGTCCATATTCATCAAGCTGCAACATCACTTCAGGAGTGGTAAAATGACATAGTATTGGTTAAGAGGCCACTTTTCCATGCCTTGTATCAGGTTGATGAATCTGGTCTTGTGCTTCTCTTTCCTTTTCAGATCAGCTATATTGGCCCTCAGAAGGATGACAATAGAAATCTGATTTGTAAAAATCATCAAAATGTTGACATTATCACTTATTGCAGCAAAGTCGACCCACGTTATGATTTAAAGCAGAACTCAAGGCAGACACATCCCATGTGTGCAGTAATGTATTCATTTATAAAACCAGTTAACATATTTTTCAGTGCAACTAATATAAATATCTGAATGTTACCTGGTATCAGCCTCGTGTAATCCTTGAAAAGCAGAGCTCAGACTGGAAGTTGGTGTTCTCTGATACTACATAGTCTCCATAGAGACTATAGAGACTCCATTGCATGAACTTGTGCTTACTGGAGAAGACACAGGACAGTAGTGGGATGCCTCATCAGTTTTCTGCTGCTCCTTCTCTGTCCAGTCACAGGCTAGGGGAGCAGAGCCTGAATTGTGTAGCTGCAGTAGTGGAAAGTTTGGTCGCCTGTCTGGCTGTGCTAAGTAAATCTCAGGACTGGATTAAAAGAAATACAAATCCTATGGCAGATTTATAAATTTGTCATCTTATATTTAACTGCCTGGAGTTTGTTGTTCAGTTTTTGTTTTTTTTTTTTTTTTTTCTGTAAAGTGAATTTCTCCACATTTAGATCCTATTGAGATAAATTATAATTTATATCTTGAGTATGTCACTGTCCAGATAAGAGCAGTATTAAACCCAAACCAAACATGTGATTTACTGTAGCTTACCAATCATTAGATGTAGTGGCTGATTTCGGGTTTTTTTCCCCTCTGTTTTCACCTGGTGATCTGGCCAGTTACACACTTCCTGTATCAGAGTGCTTCCACTCTGGATGAAGGAGCAACACAGACAGCTTTGGACAGCAGCATTGTCAGTCTGGTGGGAGGGGAATGTTAGATGCACTAGCAGCTTTAGATAAACTAACATATTGATGCTAAACTCCAGCTAACACTTTTTTCAGACTTCCTGACTAGATCAGCAAGTGAAAATAAAGGAAATAAAGCTTAAAAAGAAAACTAATGCAGCAATTCAATATAATAATTAGTAAGCTGCAATATAATAAATGTGTGCGTTTGGGTTTAATACCGCTTCAATGGTATACAGTAACACCAAATTAATGCCTGGTCAGTTAATTCCCTGCAGTGTACAGACACATGGAGTATGCATGGAAATAGGAAATGAGCTTTATGCCGCTGTCCACAGTAATGGTTTAAATTAAACCCATTTTAAAAGAACCTCTAAGGATAAAAATATGGGAGCTGGCTTCACCACCTAGTGAGTTGCTAACCCAGAGCAACTGCCACAAGAACTTCATTGGTTGCATGCTTGTTCCAGATCAGAGGCTGAGGATGGGGGTGACATCCCCGTTTCTTGTTACTCCCCTTCAGTTGCTTACAGTGAACAAGTAAAGATTTCTTAATAATACAGCACCAATGCCTTTTGCCTCATGTAATATGCAAACCACTATGCAGTGCATTGCAATGAAATTAATTTAGAATGGCATTCTCATCATGCTTTTACAGCAGCAGGTGACTCTTGGCATCCATCATAGTGCACTACAATAAATGGTTATATGTGTCATTTGTGCCTTCATACACTCTAACCCATTGTATAAATAAACATGCAGAAATTCAATGGTCCAAATTAACTTTAGTCTTCCATGGTTGTGGTCCAGACCTGGTAAAAGGGGTGCTGTTGGGAAAAGTATGGAATTGGTGTCATATTGCATCATTTATATCTTCCATCTTACATATTTAGTGATTGCCCGTTTGTTGCAGATGACCCAGCTCACACCACGTCAGACTACGACAGCACACATGAAACCAACAACAGTGACAGCAGCGACATTGTACAGAATGATGACGAAGCTGAGGGTGATGGGACGCAGTCCAGGAAAAGCTCTGTCTGCCGAACGTTTCGATCGGACAACATTGACCTCCACACACTAATAACAGCAGCCGAGGTCAGTGAATCTCAGAATCCTCTGCAGTGTCCCGAAGTGTTTAACACTGGGTCCCAGAACCCCTGCAGTGTTACCAGTGTGCCAGGCTGACTCCTAGAATCCGCTACAGTGTCCCTGTTGTGCCATACTGGCTCCTATAATTCCCTACGGTATCCCCCAGTTTTCCAGACCTTGCCTCCTGTCAGTGCGCAGAATCTCCTTCTATAAGTGCACAGTACTCCTTCCATACGTATACAGGTTCAGATATCAGAATCAGATATCAGAATACGAGATCCCTTCCTATAAGTTCACAGGATCCCTTCTTGTAAGTGTGCAGGATCCCCTCCCATCAATGTGCAGAATCCCCTCCTGTTAGTGTACAGGACACCTTCCTATCAGTGTGCAGGATCCCCTCCTATCATTGCACAGGATCCCCCCTCATCAGTGTATAGGACCCCTTCCTATCAGTGTGCAGAGTGCCCTCTTATCAGTGTACAGAACACCTCACATCAGATTCACCCGTCTGAGTTCCAATATTTCTTGTATTGGTGAGTTTTAGTGTGTCCGGCACATAACGGATCTCCGTTTCTGTCTGTCTTATACTAAGGACAAACCCATCCTTGCCCCGGAGCCGCTCATCATGGGTAATGTAGATGACCTTTTGGGGAGGTCAACAACTGGAACTTCCCCATATTTGATCTGGTGGAGAAGACGGGTCAGAAATGCGGGAGGATCCTCAGCCAGGTGAGTGGCAGAATGAGGTTTGTCATGCAATTATAGCAGATTGGTCCCAGATCCAGGGTGAGGCTGGGAGGTTGGAGGATGAGAACACAGATATGCATTGGATTCATTGTACATTGCACTCTCTTGGTGGAGGAAGCCATAGACATTGTAGGGGCATTATAGTGTGCCCCAGAATCTGGAGGCTCCCCAGTGTATATAAAGGGATGTGAAGATTCATTCACATTATTACTGTTTGCAAGTGAATTCTGACAGATTCACTTTAATGTTATAAAATAAAATTTTGACAGCCTTGGAGTGACATCAGTGGAATTGCAAGAAATGGGCCTTGGAAGGGTAATACACTCCAGTCATTGGTGAGACATCTGGCTGCCTGGGGCCAGCCTTATATCTCAACTGCAAAAGAGGGGGGCAGGGCATTGGAATTACAGAAGCAGAAGTGTACAGAGAAATAATTGCAGGCGCAGCAATATGAAGTTCTTTCAGTAATACACCTGTACAGCACAGGGGACACTGATAGGAGCCCAGAGTAAAGAACTTAGCGGCAGTCTGAGTATGGGAGGTGCCATATCTGCCCTCCAGGGAAAGTTAACTACACTGAGAGGCAGGAAATGCTCTGACTACTAGTGAAATTTCCAAACATGTTGTAGTGACAGCGGAAATGTACTCTGTTGTGAACAATTGTCACAATGTTACAAACTATATCACAATCGCTCCTTGTGTTTCACATTTATAGATGTCGTATCGACTCTTTGAGGACATGAATCTTCTGGAGACCTTTAAAATCCCCTTGAAGGAATTCATGAACTATTTTCACGCCTTGGAAAATGGCTACCGAGACATCCCGTGTAAGAGGAGTTTGCTATGTACTAATCCTGATTTGAGGCAAGGAGGAATGTCAGGTCCCATAGCCAATTTCTTATCTAATATTAGAGCAGGCTCTTAAACTATCCTTCCTACATAACAAAAACTGGTTATATTTTGTTTATTGCTATTGGGGGCACAGTGATCTTCCCAAAGGGTCCTGAAGGTCCTATACAGACATAACACAACGGAAAGGGAATAGAAAACAAATTGTAAAATGAGCAAACAGTGAGACCAGACAGTGGGAAAAGCGAACAGAATTCAAGGGTGTACGAGGGAGGAGGTCCTGATTCCCCTATATAGATCTTTAGTTATCACTAGAAGGATCACCAGCAGGAGGTAGGAGAGCCTGATTCCTCTATATAGATATTTAGTTACTACTAGAGGGATTGTCCTTAGGAGGATCTTTGGTTATCATTAGAGTCTAAAGATAACCAAAGATCTATATAGAGAAATCAGTACCTCCTTCCTCCTGAGGACAATCCCTCTAGTAATAACTAAAGATCTATATAGAGGAATCAGGACCTCCTCCCTCCTGCTGGTGATTCCTCTAGTGATTCCTCTAAATAGATCATTAGTTATTACTAGAGAGATTGCACTCAGGAGGAAGGAGGTCCTGATCACGAGAAGGATCCCCAGCAGGAAAAGGGAGGTCCTGATTCCGCTATATAGATATTTGGTTATCACTAGAGGGATCCTCAGTGGGAGAAAGGAGGTCCTGATTCCTCTGTATATATCTTTAGTTATCACTAGAGTGATCCCCTGCAGAATGAAGGAGGTCCAGATTCCCATATACAGATTTTTTTTTTTTTTATCACTAGAAGGATCCACAGAAGGAAAATAAGGTCCTGCTTCCGCTATATAGATCTTTGGTTATCACTAGAGGGTTCAATAGCAGGAGGAGGGAGGTCCTGATTGATCTATATAGATCTATAGTTATCACTAAAGTGATCCCCAGCTGGAGAAGAGAGGCCCTGATTCTTTTGAAAATAATCTTTTACTTATTACTAGAGGGATCATCAACACAAGAGGAAGGAAGTCCTGATTCTCTTATATACAGTGGGTATAGAAAAGAATCAACCCCCTTTAAAATAATCACATTTTGTTGCTTTGCAGCCTGAAATTAAGACAGACACAGTTTTTGTTTTATCCAGCTGTATTTTGTGCAACTTATAACATCCAAGTGAAAGATATAACACCAACATCTGAGAAATAAAAATCAAAAACTGAATTGCTGAGTTGGAAAAAGGATCACCCCCTTGTGTTAGTATTTTGTTGAACCACCTTTTGCTTTAATTCCAGCCTTTAGTCTGTTGGGATGTCTCTACTAGCTTTGCATATCTAGACTTTGCAATATTTGCCACTCTTCTTTGCAGAACAGTTCATGTTCAGTTAAATTTGATGGTGACCGTTTGTGAACTGCAGTCTACAAGTCATTCCACAGATTTTCAATGGAGTTTAAGTCTGGGCTTAATAATTGTCTTCGCTGTGTTTCTAGGTTTTGATAAAGTCTTTGAAATTTTTTTCTATCCATCTCCTGACTTGTGCTTGTCCACAACTTTATAACAGAGATCTTTTGATAGTGCCTTGCCATCCATAGTTGATTGTTTGCTTCAGTTACACCACCAGGGACTGAAATGCTCCAGGAAAGCTCTTTTCATGCTGAGCTAATCAAAATGACCACAGCTGATCACAGTTGAAAGTCAAATGGCTGTTTACCACTGAGAAGTTTATTAACTACACTTGACTAAGTTTACAAGTCATTTTTTAGGATGGGGTGATCCTTTTTCCAACTGCAAGTGATTATGTTTTTAATTTTTTTAATTTTGTTTATGACATGTTGGTGTTATGTCTTTCAACTGGATGTTATACGTTGCACTGAGTAAATACAGCTGGATAAAACAAAAACTGTGTCTGTCTTCATTTCAAGCTGCAAAGCAACAACATGTGATTATTTTAAACAGGGGGGTGATTATTTTCTATACCCACTGTAGATCATTAGGTATCACTAGAGGGATCCCCAGAAGGAAACGGGAGGTCCTGACTCCGCTATATAGATCCTTGGTTATCACTAGAGGGACCAATAGCAGGAGGAAGGAGGTCCGGTTTTCCCTATATAGATCTTTCGTTATCACTAGAGGGATCCCCAATAGGAGAATGGAGGTCCTGATTCCTCTATATAAATCTGTATTTAGACCTTATTTAGAAACCTTTGTCCAGTTCTGAAGACCTCACTTACAAAAAGATATTCATAAGAAGTCCAGAGACAGGCAACAAAAATGGTGTAAAGTCTGCGGGAAAAAACATGTCAGAATAGAGTGCAAGAACATAATATGTACAGTCTTGAGGAAATCGGGGAAATGGGGACATGGCTGAAATCTTCAAATACACAAAGGGTGTTATGGTTCATGAGGGCAGTATTTTCAGTATGAAGCTAAGATCAAGAACACAGGGACATGCCCTCAAACTAGCAGGAGGAAAGATTAAAACTAATCATAGAAATCATTATTTTACCGAAAGAGTAGTTGATGCTTGGAATAGGCTTTCAGCAAAGGTAGTGAGTCAGTCAACAGTAAATGGATTCAAACATGCTTGGGACAGATATACACTGATTAGCCATAACTTTACGACTGCCTACGTAATTTGGAGTAGGTTCTCCTTTTGCCAACAAAACAGCCATGCCCATTGAGGCATCGATGCCACTAAACCTCTGAAGGTATTAGTGGTATCTGGCAACAAGCCATCAGTAGCTGATCCTTTAACTCCTGTAGCTTGCAAGTTGGGGCCTCCATGGATCAGACTTGCTTTTCTAGCACATCCCACAGATGCTTGATTGGATTGAGATCTGGAGAATTTGAAGGCCAAGTCAACACCTGGAACTCATTGTGTTCCTCAAATCATTCTTGATTTTTGCAGTCTGGCAGGGTGCGTTATCCAGCTGAAATAGCACTGCCTTTAGGCTCCATTCACTTCTAAGCGTATCATTTTTCAGCTATTTTTCCGTGTTTTTGCGCATTTTTATAAAGCGTTTTTAGACTTTTTTTGAGCTTTGCCGTTTTTTATTAGCCAATAGAGAAAAATGGGCTGCTGAGTCCATAACGACCTATGAGTAATCAGCTGTCAGCGGGGTTTCCCACTGACAGCTGAATGTAAAAAAAAAAAAAGCCTGCAATTACAAAATAATACAAAAAAAATTATGTGGGGTCCCCCCCTCCATCTATAACAAGCCCTTTGGGTCTGAGGGGAACCCCCACGCCAAAATAAAAGAAAAATGGTGTGGGGTCCCACCCAAAATCCATACCAGACCCTTATCTGAGCATGCAGCCTGGCAGGTCAGGAAAGGAGGGGGATGAGCGAGCACCCCCTCCCTCCTGATCCATTCTAGGCCACATGCTCTCAACATGAAGGGGGGGGTGCTTTGGGGCAGGGGGGGCTCCCCCCCAAAGCACCTTGTCCCCATGTTGATGGGGACAAGGGCCTCTTCCCCACAACCCTGGGCTGTGGTTGTGGGGGTCTGCAGGCGGGGGGGCTTATCGGAATATGGAAGCCCCCTTTAACCCCCAGATCCTGCCCCCCCATGTGAATGAGTATGGGGTACATGGTACAGCTACCCATTCACAAAAAAAAACTAGTGTGAAAAAAGACAGGAGAGGAAGGAAAATAAAAGAATGTCCCCTGAGGTAGATCCAACGTCATTCACGATACCTGCCGCTGCCACCCGAAAAAAGAAAAAAAAAGGCTCTGTCCCAACGCTAGCTCCCGGCCGTCTGACTGCTCTGCTGGCTTGACCATTCTTATATATGTAAAGGGCGGGGCAATCACATATATGACCCTGCCCCGTGTGACATCATTGACCCAGCATGCCCCGGTCGATGATATCACACGGGGGCAGGGTCATGTGGGTGATGTCACCAAGTTCCCCTATCCCTTACATATTTAGGAACTGTCAAGCCAGCGAAAGAGTTAGATGGCGGGAGCCAGTGTCGGCAGCGGAGCCTTTTTTATTTCTTTTTTCGGGTGGCGGCAGTAGGCATCATGATTGACATTGGATCTACTTCGGGAGACATTCTTTTATTTTACTTCTTTTAATAAAGGACTTGTCAAAGAATGTTTCCTGTCTTTTTCACACTACAGTTTTTTTTGTGACTAGGTAATGGTACCATGTACCCCATACTCGTTCACATAGGGGGGTCGGGATCTGGGGCACCCCTTGTTAAAGGTGTGCTTCCAGATTCCGATAAGCCTCCCAGTCCATAGACCACCACAACCACAGCCCAGGATTGTGGGGAAGAGGCCCTTGTCCCCATTAACAAGGTGAGCTCCCCCTCTGCCCAAAGCACCCCCACATGTTGAGGACATGTGGCCTGGCATGGTTCAGGAAGGGGGGCGCTCGCTCGTCTCCCCCCCCCTTTTCTGACCTGCCGGGCTGCATGCTCGGGTAAGGGTTTGGTATGGATTTTGGGAGGGACCCCACGCCATTTTTTTTCTTTTTTGGCATGGTGGTTCCCCTCAAAATCCATACCAGACCCGAAGGGCTTGGTATGGATGGAGGGGGGGACCCCACGCCGTTTTTTAAATTATTTTTTAATTGCCGGCAATTTCTTCTTTTACATTCAGCTGTCAGTGGGGAACCCTGCTGACAGCTGAAACATTAACACATGGTTTTCACTACTAAAATACCGCATGACTTGATAAAATAACTCATGCAGTATTTTATTAGCATTTTTTAGTAAATTCAGACAATTTTTTTAAATGCTATACGGTATCCTACCGCATACTCAGATGCAGTATGATACCGCTTAGTGAATTGTGCCCAATATTATTATTATTATTATAAGTTATTATACAGTGTTTATATAGCGCCAAAGGGTTTGCTCAGCGCTGTACATTAGTGAGGGGACAGAACATGAGACAATACAGTACAATACAATACACGACGAGGGGTTCGACGGCCCTGCTCTTTCAAGCTTACAATCTAGGAGGG